TTTTGGAAAGTTAGTTGTTTATTTCTCAGTATCAGATCAATTGCAGGATTAAATTAACAGTGAATTTATCTGAGTGAATAAATCTACCTTGGTAGCCTGGGGCAGAGTTGCAAAAATAAATGTGAATGTTGGTCTGAATTTTTAATTTTTTCTTTAAGTAAACCAGCTATTAAAATGTTGTTTTGTGTTAAAAACAGAGCTCCTTTTGAATAAATGTAACACACCTAAAAAGTGAATGCCATTTGATAATAATATTATAAGTAATGAAAACATTTAAAAAAATCAGGTTAAAAATACTGTTCTAATAAATTCAGTGACTCCTTTCTATAGTTAAGTATTAAATGATAGTGTGGAGATGGATTCTTTCCAAGTAGTAGTTAAAGAAAAAAAAAAGTAATTTTGAGGGGCTATGCCTTATGAGAAAGTTGTTTTAAAATAATCCTAATTTTTAAACATATACAAATGACTGTTTTTAAAAAATAACATCAAATCAGAAAGTCTTAACATTGTAGAAAGTATGATTTTCTGAGATAGAGGATTTAATGTGTAGATTTTATCTAGTCCTCACCATTTTATAAAGTCTTAGACAAGCTAATCTTGATTTCTTGTTAAAGGACATAAAGTAAATTTACTGTCTGAGTAAGTTTGTAATAGTCTAAACATTCGGATTTTATACTGGGGTTTTGAAGTAAAATAATGATCATCTTTCTAGAGGCACTCCTACTGACTTTCTAGAAAACATTATCAGTTACAGGAGACTTTATCTCCGACAATCTCATTCCCAAACGTCCTAAGCCCTGAAGTTCTTTCCAGTGGCCTGGCATCCTGGGAATTCACTTGATCTGCTGGGCAGAGACATTTCAAACTTGGGGAACACATGATGGGAATTTAGTTTTATGTGTTCCAAAGATATGTAATTCTCTTTGGAGGTTTTACTTGATAATAGCTATGCCCCAGAAAACCATCTTGTTTAACCAATGTGATAAGTTGACAATGTCGTTTTTCTCTCTGATTATAATGTACTCTGTGTAGTCAATACACTGGTACCATGTGAGTGTAATTTCCTCTTTTATTTTATCTCCAATGCACTGTATTATAAATAAACAGTTAAAAAAAACACCAAACAAATCTGTTGCATCTCCTTTTAAGATTGTACCACTGTAGACACTTGTTCTAGTAAAGTAGAATTGGGCGCATTTGATTGCATTTAAATTTTTCATGCTTCAGCAGTTTGGCTGGGAGCACAGTAAAGAAAAATCCCATGAGCGAGGATCGTTTAGAATAATAGAACTTGATTTTGTGTATTATAGCAGCAACATTTGCGCTGCTTTAGTTAGGGTTGTGTCAGCACTTCCATTATAACCCCCTGTTTTCAAGGGGTATAACTAGGGAGATTTTTTTAAAAATACAAATTAAAAAAACAATTCATTTGAATGATTTTTAAGTTATAGTGCAAAAATAAAACAAAGTAAAGTCACATGGAAATTGACCATTTTTACAAGGATTTTGATTCGTTTGCTTATTAGTTATATATGGCAGTAGCTAAAGTAAGATACCATTCTAATACACTGGGGGGTGAAGGTTTTTGTAAGGGAAAATTACTGATAAGAGCATTAAAAATAAACGTAAGCATCTGATGTGACAATTTAAAACATTAAAACTGGTGTATATTTGATTTATGAATTTCTAAAGGAGAGTAGCCAGCCAAGGTGCAGTGGTTATAGTAAAAGCATTACCAAGAGTCTGCAGTTTCTAGAATACTGTTTAGTTGGTCTAGTAAAATGTTTTAAAAGGGAAAGTTAAAGAAATGAAATGAATGAGTATGTAATCAGTAAATTGAAGGACTCTTTAATAAAGTAATTGTGCAAAAAATAATCAGTAAATTGAATCTAATAATCAGTGAATCTGACTTATTTAATAAACTGTGCATTAAAGTTGTGCACACTTTCTTTTTAAAAATACAACAAAACCACCACCCCAAACAAAACTACAAAACCAAATAAAAACAAACCTGAAACAAGCCCAGCAATTTTGTCAAAAAAAAATGCCCAGAGTGGAGTAATACCTACCTAAAAGAACAAAATCACCTTTTTCTCTGCTAACAACATATTTGAGAACTATAGTAAACACAAGAAGAAATACAGTATGGAAAAATTGTTCTTGGAATAAAAAAATGTTAATACCTTTGCTGAAGGCTGGGATTTCAAAGTTTGAGTATGCCTTCCTTAGTTGTTAACTATTATTGTCTTACCTTCCCCCTCCCCTTGTCCCCTAATGATGGTATGAACTGAGGCTGAACAGTCAGATTTAATATTGTTTTGTCTTTTTTTTTTTGGCAGCCTATCTTTTATTTGCAACCTTGATGCACATTTGTATTTGTAGGTGCAAAATAAAAGACAAATTGTGTGATGTTATAAATAGGTAGCTTTCCTGAATGGTCACTGGAGGAATCACCAGAAGGCTGTTGATGAAGTAGAGGTGAAGCCCTTCCTCACTAATTGTATTCAGCGTGTAATTTCTAAACTTCCCTCTGAATTTTGATTTTCAATTAACACTCCCCATTTGAAGATAATTTTCTATTTAATGTAATTGCAGGAAATAATTTATTGGCTGATTAAGACTGAGGGCCCAGCCTTCCTTAAGAAAACACTCTAACAAACCAGCCTTTAAACTCAACTCATGGCTTTGGACAGATTTAGTCTATTTTTACAGCTGCATGGTTGTGTTTAATTAGGATTGTGCAGTATTATTGTTCATTGGTGCAGTTTTGCAGTTGAAATTATTCTTAAGAGACTTTTGCATTTTGTGTCATGATTAATTTATACTAAAGCAACAATCACAGATATTGCTATTGGAAGGAGCCAAGTTGCTTTATAATAAGAGGATGTTTGTTGGGGAACTAAAGTCCCTATGAGTTTTCGATTATGACTTTCAATTGTATTGAGCTGTTTTCAAAAGCAGCAGTAAATTCCTTCTTTTGTTTTTAATGTGAATGATTACATTATTGGTACTGTCATTATCTAAACTATGAAAACATTCTTGTTGTTTACAGCAAGCTCTTGATAAACTTGCAGGACAGTTATAATTTGCCTGGTTTTACGACAGTATTTATGAGGCCAGTGAAGTAAGCTCTTGAGTGCTTCATGTAGACTAAGAAACGTCCTTTGGTATCGCTTTTCCTAAGTGTGTATATGTAAGTCCATTTGCTAGTATTTTTAGAAATTGGTCAAGAATACATTTATCTGATTTTTTGAGATAGTGCTCTTTAGAGCATTTTATTTCTTTCTTCTCAAAGAAAATATAGACATTCTTCTGTACTTCCTTTCCCCATTTTATTTTATAGCATCAAGTCTAATAGATGAAATTTTTGTATTTGTAGAACGATTATTGTAAGTAGGTATCAGCATTTTAATATGTTTCAAAGCACTTCAAAAGCCTGTAATACTTTTATTTAGAACTGTGCATAATTAGATTAGCTGATCTTATCTTAATTTTTTCACTGTAGGATACTAAATCTGAGCCCCTTCATTAATTGTGAGAAATTTAGCATTAGCTGTTAAATCCTATGTGAAACATGGGCTGCTACATAAAACTACTGTTTAAATTGGAATTAACTTAATTATTTTTCTTTGCACTTGATATTTCCTTCACTGCAATATTCATGAAAGCATGTGACAGATTTGTAAATTTAACTGTTAATCTCAGATTTCTAGACCCTTTAATCAGTATTTATTTGTCTGTAGAAACAGTACTAGCAAGTTAATGATTTGCTAATTTGAAAAATGCTCATGTGGTTTCCTATGTTAACTGATTTGTGCATTTTTTAAAAAATGGTATGAAATCAATTAATGTTAAAGAGCAATTAAGGTGGAGATTTTATTCCTTTCATTACGCAGCAATTTTAGAGCTAAATATGTTATAAACCAAAAATGACATAAAGTTTTAGAAAAGATACTCAATCGCCTCTTATTTTAATTTAAAAACTACCAGTGATTTTATTTATAAGCATTTTGCTAAGAAAATCATCTTGATAAAGTGATATTATAAAAGTTTTGAAGTTTTGTTTAATAATAATGATTTTCTGACTGTATATGAAAGCACAGAATGAAGACCTTGTGCTGAATATAATCAGAATTTACTTATAGATACATAGATAAATGTTCAGTAATTGTTTGTGGAGTATTAAAATATTATCCACTAGGCATTTTACTACTTTCATACTAAATGCTTTAATTCTTGTATATACTTTCTAATATAAAATAGAGGCACAGTTATTTTATATGCTCAATTCAAATGTTATAAAACTGCCGTTAGACTAATCTAACAGTATCATCCACTCAATCAGTATGTCACTTAAAAGTTAAATTACAGCAGTTGACACAGCTTGAAGGTCTTTAGAAAAGGATCACATTGACACTAAACAGTGTTAGGCCTAGCACTCAATCCAAGGTGTAAACTCAGAAGTCAGGACCAAATTTGCTTAGGATTTCATCGTAGATAACTTACCCTTTTGGTTATATTTTCTGACTTAGATTTTTGTTCTGACATAAAGCATAAGCAAAATTTGGATATGTGTACTTTCAAATCATCTTCCAAACTGGCTCATTTGCCAGTTCATTCAGTCATTCTTTTTTTTTTTTTTTTCCCCATTGCTAGCCAAATCAACCAAATTATTCTCAAGAAGCTTATAATCTAGTTGGGAGAACTTGGGGGAAATACACACATACAGATACTATACATAATGAAAATTTATTCCATAAAAACTTCATTTATGGTTTGGTAAGAGAGAAAATATGCAGCAATCACTGGGAAGAGTTTTGTGAGTTAAAATCAAAGTGGGGAAGTGGAATAGATAAGCTAAGAGCTCTTTTTCAGTGGGTTAGAGTAGATCACAAACATCTCTGAAGTTAGAGAATTTTTTTTCCCCTGAATTAGTCAAATGTGAGGGATTTTTTTCATCGACAGGCCTTTTTAATCCATGCTGTTTCCATCTTCTGCAGAAGAATGTCTTCCAAGCAAGCCGCCTCTCCATTTGCCTGTTCAGCTGATGGAGAGGAAGCGATGACCCAAGATTTGACCTCCAGGGAAAAGGAAGAGGGCAGTGATCAACATGTGGCCTCCCATCTGCCTCTGCACCCCATAATGCACAACAAACCTCACTCTGAGGAGCTACCAGCGCTTGTCAATACCATTCAACAAGATGCTGACTGGGACAGCGTTCTGTCGTCTCAGCAGAGAATGGTGAGTTTTTAAAATCTGGCACTGTCACTGTGTCTGTTAGCATGACCTCATTACAAATAGCTATTCTAGAGGAAGCTCAAAATACAGGTCTTTAGAGTTCATTGTGTTCAGATCATAAAACAACTATGATATATATTATTGATATTCTTCTAACTGGGAAAAATTGGGAAATAGTTTGTGATTTAGTTTTTGTCCATTATTAGGTCACCTTGCCAAAAAATTTAATTGACTTTGGGAGAGATTTGGCTATCACATTCTCTGAATGTCTGAATTTAAGGTGATGAACTTGGTAATACTACAGGATAGGTATGGTCAAGTGAAGTGTGGCTGTGGATTAATATTGAAAAATTGTACTAAGCAAACCCGTCTTCATGAAGGAGATCATATGGAGAGTGCATCTTCTGTGAGGAAATGCATTTATCATTCTTGACAGTTATTCCTGATTTATAATAAAGATTTTCTCACTTATGTCTCTATATATTAATTTCAAAAGAACATGCAATGCTCCCGAGTATCATTCCATGAGACTGTGGGAGTTTTCTCTAAAGGTAGAAAAAGCAGCATCAAACACATGCAGTGTGTTAGCCAGCTTTCTTATGTTGAATTCCATCTTTAACCATCAAAACAGAAACCAGAGCAAATGACATTCATTGTCTAATTTAAAGCAAAACTATTCATTTTTTTTTTTTTTTTTTAGCATCTAGAACTGACCAAAACCTTAACATATTTTACTTGATTAGGAATTTTAAACTCTGTTTTACATGTCTTAAATTTTGGTTAAGTTAATGAAAAGTATTTTAAGTGAGAAACTAGAGAAAGTTTTATTCCTCAATTAAAAAATAGGGTACTATTCAAAAATACCTTTACTGCTAATAAAATATATTTAAATTCTTGCTCTATACTTGATGTCTCAGGACCAATTAAAAAGTTTGATTTCATAATTTATGGACGTAGACACTTTTTTTTCAAATGATTTTGCTGATAGAACTAGTACTCTGGGACAGTAGTTGAGATGTAGGGGACTGGAAGAAAAACAAACAAGACTTTTCTAGACTAACTTTAGATTCAAAGGCTATCATCATTATAAAATTAGATAGATCCACTGGAAGATGTATTTTTGTTGAATAGGGAGAAGAGAAGGTATAATAAAGTAAGACTAAAAGTCTGTTTTTCTGATTGAATTTGAATGGTCCGTTTTATACCTCCAAGATTGCATGGGTGAAATAGATATCCAGCCACTGACACTGGGTTTTTGGCAAGCTATTAGGGCTATGTTTTATTTTTATTTCAACAAATATTTATGTAGCACCTTCTCTGGACGCAGCATTCTACTAGGTGCTGGTGCATGAAACATGCATGATTATGCCTTCATGGAGTTTATATCTAAGAGAGGGAACAGAAATAGATATATAATTAAATGGTGATATGTATTATATGCATATATGTACAACCCATGGACATAGACAATAGTGTGGGCAAGGCCTGGGGTGGGGGGGCTGGATGGAGGGGGTCAAAGTGGGGAAAAATGGAGGACACCTATAATACTGTCAACAGTGAATTTTAAAAATTTGTTATGTGTTAGGAAGAAAGAGAACAGAATGCTATGTGAGAACCTAATGGAATAAACCTAATTTAGAATGGGTACATAGGTGTGCCCTTGCTGACCCGAGGATGATAGGAATTAGCCAGGCAAGGAAGAAAGGAAAGAATAAAAATAGCAGAAGGAATAGCATGTATGAAATACTTGAGGTGAGAAAGATATAGACGAGTTTCAGGAACTTTAAGGTAGCCTTCGTGGCTGGAGTGTAGCGTCAGATCTGGTTGGAGAGATGGGTAGGGGCTACATCCAACAAGACCTTGTAGATAACATTGGAAGTGAGGCTTGAGTCTAAGTGCAATGAAAAGGCATTGAAGGATTTAAGATGATTTCAAACAAATAATTCTGGCTGTAGTATGAATGGATGGGAGGGACACAGAGCAAAAGGAGGAAGACCTGTTGCAAGGCTATTTCAGAAATCCAGGTAAGAGATGACAGTGACTTGAATTAGTGTGGAGGCCGACGGAATAGAGAGAAAGGGTGGGTTCAAGGTATATTTTTGCTTTTATGCCAGATATAGTCATGGACAGATTAAAATAACTAAACTGGAAATGTAGGTTGAGGCAGAAATAATACAGTTGGAATTTTACTGTTTTAGAGAACACTTTGCTTATTTTTCTCAGTAAAATTTTGTGTATTATCTTAGCAAGTATCAGATTGCTTCAGTGAGTTATTCTCAAAGTTTTATGATGAAATTTTGTCAGAAAATAGATATTAATAATTATTAATAGATATTAATAATAATGCTTACCAAATTTATATTAAGTGGAATTTACGGTGGTATAAAAGTTTAAATTTACAAATATGTTGTATGTTAGTCTAAAAGAAATCATCCTTGCTGAAAATGTTTTCAAACTTTCACTCTCTTTTGATATCAAGCGTTGCTTTCCACTGGACCCTTTGTGTATTCTGAATGTCTGGAAGCCAAAATATTTTGTTTTAACTCCCACTCTATAGCATTTCCCAGCTGTGTACTTATACGGTATAGTAAAAGGATTTAACAAATGGGAAATAGCAGCTGCATTTGGAAATTCCCTTTGTGCTCCCTTTTCATTCAATAGATTCAATACTGTGTAACATCAGACCTGTAATGCAAGTATCATATCACCAAACAATTTTTCTTTACAGGAAAGAAAAACAATAGAAGGATTTTAGGTTTCTGGGTAGTCCTGCAAACCATGCATATTGTGTATGTGTGTGTCGGGGGGGTTGTGACAAAAGTAAAATTTAATAAATATTCTACCACATTCTACTTTCAAGTAAACATAAAGTCCAAAAGGATTGTTATGAAGTGGAGTGAAACTTGTAGTTCTCCTCAATGGATCATATCTGTTACTTACTGTAATTGAACCCCATAAAATTGTTGTGGGGAAATAAAATTTAAAAGAAAGTCTAAAAAACAACAAAAAATTCTATTAGCGCCTATTCAGTTTCCATTGTTATTTACTTTCTGTGATGGCTTTCACTCAGGAACAGTTAGAAACAGGCACTAAAAGTTTCTTATCTCCTTGGTTCAGAAGGGGTTTTACTTTGAAATACCAAGACCACAGAGGAGCTCTTCTGTAAGTGAGGGTAAAGACAAAGCAGAGAAGTTCTGCTAACCCCCACTTCCTGATCAGAAAAAAATCTTTAAATGTTAAAATTCTGATTGTTTGTTTTGAGGTGGTGCTCCAATAAAATATGAGAGACCACACAGTTTCAAACAAGGAAAAGACTTTACTGTGGCCTAAGTGAAGAGTAGAAATGTTAGAGATCAGCATTCAGAGAACAACAGGAGATAAAAAAGTTTTAGACTCTGATTTTAATGACAATTACTTATACTATGGATACAGAAATGTTTAATTTTAAATTAGTGTGCTGTGCTAATTGGTAAGGTCCATTTGAAGGCTGAAAAGTTAGTGTAAATAAGATTTCACTATCCTTGTTTGCTGTGTAAAATTACTACTATTCTCATGCCAAAGCCAGCACACCAGCACTTTTTGTGTGGAGTATTGACACTGCCCCCTGAAATATGTTTTTGTTCCCATTAGGACTGGTTCTTTAAGCAGGAATAAATTCACATAATCTTTTCATGGAATAATGTAGAGCGTAGTATTCTTTTTAATGCTAACAAGCACGGAGGAACATTTTGTGGCAGTGTTTTGTGACCGGCGTATGACACTGTGTTGCAATGATTGTCTGCTAAAGATTATTTGAGTATATAGGACCTACTAAGTTCTAGGGGCAGAGACCTTCTTGTGAAGAAGACAGATGAGCTCTATGCTATCATGGAACTTAGATTCTAGTAGTGTGACAGGCAATAAAGAAGTTTCACAGAGTGAGACAACTTGAGACGGTAATAAGCGCCATGAAGGAAATTAAGAAAGTATGATTGAGATGACTACTTTAAACTGTCTGGGGAAGGTCTTTTCACAGAGGTGACATTTGAGTTGAGGTTGGAATAACGTGAAGGAGCCAACTATGCAAAAATTTGGACTAAGTGCAAAAGCCTTTTGGTTGGTGTGTTTGAGCAACAGAAAACAACAGAGGACTTCGAGTGGAATGGGTGGGGGAGTGAACAGTGTGAGAGAAAATTAAGGAGGCAGGCAGACAGACCACAGATACTATGGGGTATGTATCATAGGCTACAGTGAGGTGTTTGGACTTTATTTCAAGTGCAAGAGGAAGCCACTGGAAGATTTTAAGCGAGACTAACATGATTTGATTTATGCTTTTAAAAGATCACATTGGCTACTGTGTAGAGAATGGATTGTAGGAGATAACATCAGAAGGACACTTATTAGGAAAACTATTGCAGTAGTGCAGGTGAGAGTTGGATGCTAAGTGGAAGCCTGAACAGTTAGGGAGGTTATTCTTCAAGGCGTTCCCATAGATTCTGAAGAAGACAACGTTCACGCAGAGGGTGAGGAGATGATTTTAAGTAATGTACATGTGGGCAGAACTTTAGTCAAGAGTGAACAGGGGCCCGGCCGGGCGTGGCTCAGCGGTTGAGCGTCGACCTAGGATCCAGGCGATCAGGGTTCGATTCCCGGTCAGGGCACATGCCCGGGTTGCGGGCTGCAGCCGATCAATGACTCTCTCATCATTGATGTTTCTCTCTCTCTCTGTCCCTCTCCTTTCCTCTCTCTGAAATCAATAAAGATATATTTAAAAAAATATATTAAAAAAAAAAAAAAGAGTGAATAGGACATGAAGCTGCTGAGACCAAAGAGAGGGGGAGAGGGTAGGCTTGATGCAGGACAGAAAATGGTCCTATGTGAGGACAGAAGCTTTTTGCCTAAGAGTGAACTGTTTGCAGGTGACTTCTGGGGTAGGACACAGGGATGTGGGTAAGGCACCAACAGTATCTCTTATAAGATTTAAAAAGTGACAAGATTGTAAGTAGGATGTTCTCTACACATGT